CCGTCAGGTTAAAAAAGGGTAGATAACTCTGCTTGAATAAATTTTCTTCACTTCCGGTGGTCAAAACCTGTAATTCCAATCAACTTTTGTTTTTGCTATTTTTCATGTAAAAACAATAAAATAGAGGTTAAATTCCCACTGGACTAAAAAGGTTATGGTATTAGCTATATCTCTATGTATGCAGAATGGTGAAAATTGCAATATTATGTGTTGAAACTGCCCTCACAACTTTGTCACTCCACGTAGTCTGTGTTTGGATTTGTTATTAATATAAGATTTCTTATAACAAGAAGGTCAAATTTAGCCCCATTTGCCCACAACTATTTCGTTTACAGTACAAGAGATATACTGCTCTACTTTTGTACAATTTTAGCCTGCTATATCTGGCCAAAAGTTGATTTTAAAATTGAAGTGGTCAAATTTCAATTTTTCATGGCTACCTTTTGTATAGTCCTTTTCAATAAAAGTATGATGAAATACTTGTAAAGAGTATTAATTTGTATGTTCAATTGAACATTGCATTAACATAAACAGCTATATTAATGAACAGGGTGATTCTGCAATTCACTTGTATAAGTTGTAAAAAAATTAAAAAGGGAGGGGGGGGGGGGGGGAGGGGGATGAACATTCCACAACAAAAATTAATCAAGAGTTTTTTTACTAAACGGCTTGAGATATTTATCTAATTTTTGGTATGTAAGTCAACCATGATGCTACAGCGTGTATACTGTTTTCATTGCTGTCACTCATCTACTTCTTGTTTACTGATACTTAGCTCAGTCGACATACACCTTCCCTAGAAGGCTCCATCTAGTTGATCAAATTGATGGATTTAATTTTGACTACCAAAAATGGCCAGGAGCAATATTGGTGTTGAATCGATTCATTTCAAATTTGTGTCTACTGTTTTAACGGTTTGTGATTTAGCTTGACAAGTATAAAAATTCTTTCTTGTAGATATATATTGTACTGCTATTTACAACTGTATACAGAAATCAACGACTTAATAATACTTTTGTGACCATATTAATTGAAATAATAAGGTAAGATAGTGCTTGAAATATTAAAGTAGTATAACGCTTTTATTTTTTGTAATCTTTTTTGAAAAGTCATATTAAAAGTTGAAAATGTATGTTAAATTGAAAGACTAAATAACATTTGTTCAAATCAGAAATAAAAAATACCAGAAAATGCAACATATGTCACTTAATAAAAATTCAGGGGGAAATAAACATCTAAATGAACATAAACTGAAACATTGTTAAACAAGATTCAATATAAATATAAATGTGTTTGTTTTCAGGGAAAAAAAGAATGACATCAAGAACTATAGTTTTGAGATCTCTGGAAAATAAGCATCATATTATAAAGCTGCATGCCCCAGAGTTTTATACCATAAATAAAAAATTAGATCTATATTAAAATGCTCGTGAGGCTATAATGCGTAGGTATATTCATGGAGATTTTGCTATTGTAGAACCTGATCCATGTTTATACCTGCAGCTTACACCTGATCATGCTGATGAAGTTTCAAGCTCAAGTGATCATACATGGAGTCATGGAGGTACATGTTCAAAAGTACAAACTGTAACATATGTACCCTCCTCACAAACCACGTATGACAACTCAATGAGTTTGTTTTCAGGATCATCTCATAAAACTGACGTCACAGTTAAAGCAGATGGTTCAGTAGACCTTTTTTCTTCCAATAGAGAAAATTCTTCTGAACTATCTGCTTCTCAGCAGGTTTGTCTTGATGAAGTTTTGTCAGCAACAAATGATGTGAATGAAACTTCATCTTGTGATTCAGAGAGGATTTTAAAACAGAAAACCCTGAAAAGGAAAATAAGTTGTGCCTCACCAGAAAATATAGCTGCTGAGTCAGCAACAACTTATTCAACTGGCTTTCTATGCCATCGTTCCTCCCCTTCTATGAAAACAAGTACAATTGGTATCAATAGCACAGACTCAGATTATGATTGTAATGTTTTCAAGATGGTTAAAAAGAAACATAGAAAACAAAATTAGGGCTTTACTGTTTTAAGTGTCTGTCTGTCCGTCTGTCCACCTTTCTGTCTTTCTGTTCGACAGTCCATCTTAATTTTTGTTTCCACAAGAGAATATCATTTTGCATTGACCAAATGATTTCAAGCACATATGAGGTTAAAATTTTGGTGGCATCACTTTCACAGTTCCAAATATTTTATTTTTATGTTTTGCCACCATGAATCATGCCTGAAAATTAATCTCTTTTGCCAGTGGGGGCATCTGTGTTCATTTATTATATACAGTAACAAAAGGTGTATTACAATTCAGCAAAACCAACAAAGTGTCCTATGAAAACTTATCAAATATTGACTTTAAGGCTTCCATCTAAGGCAAATACTTTGAATCAGCTCTGTTATATTTGGTCTCCAGATTATTTACATGTATATGTGAAGAAGAGTTCACATCATAAATTTAGTTCACCTTAAGCTTGTTTTAATTATCCAGAAATAATTTTGTCTAAATAAGTACGTATAAATATTTAATCCTGTCTTGGGGCTTTGAACTTACTTAGGCAATCAAAAAGTATACATTGTAATACATGTATATCTGTTAACAATTGATATCTGTTCAAGGTCTTAACTTTATAATTACATATTTTGGGTTTCTTTTCGAACAGCTATTTATAGGTGTTCAAAGACCAATCACATTTGACCTTAATTAACTGTAAACAATAGGTATCATTTGCATGATGGAAATTGTTTTAAGGGGAGATAATTCCACTTAGATGTTATGAATCATTGTATGCTTTATAATTATAGTCTCAAAGTATTATTTAATTATTTTGTAATGTTTATATGTTACCCAAAAGTTAATGGGGCATGCATAGCAGAGGTTTTCAATAATGAAAGTATAAGCACTGTACTAGGTAAATTAAAGACCAGTAATTGTTTTGTATGTCAAATAACAACAATTAAAGTCATACAGTGAAACAAGTCTTAACTGAATTTAACAAATTTAAAATGATGTAGACATGCGATATTAATTTTATATAGCATTGTGTGTGTTCATTTAAGAAATGTTACACTGTCTTTCACTGTGGGGCATGCTGGTTTATTTGGTTGGCACATGCATTTTATTCTTACAGATACACAAGAAAGATCTCGTTTAATTTGAAAGACCAATCACATTTGACCTGCACTTCCTGGAGTCTTGAAAGATCCAGTTGTTTGTTGAAGATTTTGAATAGTAAGTTTGATACTCAAGATATCTGTTCTCAAACATACATGGGTTACCTTATAAATTTTGGATTTTAACAATTATATACAAGTTTGATTTTAAAGTCTTGATTTGCAATTCCTGGAGTCGATTAATCTAAGTATACTGAATTGTTCATGACTTACGATCAATCTTAGTCGTAAGTTTTTTTGGGAAACCTACTCCTGGCCCATTAATAATAATCAATGAATTACGGTATTTCAATCAAGTGTCTTCATATAATATGTCACATAAACAAGTTAGTCTTAAACAAAATGATATTTAAAATTATTTGCTTTTGCTTTGCAGCCTACTTCATGTAGGTAGTTTTTCATGAACTTTCAATATGTTTAATCCAAGAACTTTTATTAGCAACGGCCTCATCAATGCAATTTTTGATCGCTGTAGTGGAAATAGGAAACAATTACACAATACATTATGTCAAATGACTAAAATTGATAAAAACAATGTGAATATAAGCAGCCTATATACCAGAGTCAGAACAACTGTGGCTCATTTAAAACGATTAAAAAAATATTATGGTAATGGCAATAAGTTTCAAGACTATAGGAAAAAGTTTTTCTCTTTTCCTATTCCAAGACCTTCTGTTGTACAGGCCGAACAAAAAAAGGTAGAAAATTGTTCTCTCAAGCGACAAGTCGATCACGTTTACCATCTGTTACAGCTTAAGACTGATCTATTGCGTCAAAAATATGAAATTGCTCGAAAGCAAGAACAAACAATTTGAAAACTTATCCGAAGTTATTAAAGATTCAAAGATGGAGATAGAGGATTTAAATGATAACATTGAAAAGCAATTTGATGAAAATAATAATAACAATGAAATGCTTGATAAAATGAAATTTAAAACGAGAGACAGTTCTCAAGGGCGACCTTATAATAATAATATAAGGCAAATTTATTATTTCATGCGAAGTCATGGGGTTGGAGTTGAACATATTGGTCCAATTTCAAAATATATTTTTGATATGTTCAATATTCAGTATAGTGAACTCCCAAGTTGTAGTTCTGCTCTTCTCTTTGACAAAAAAATGAACATTTTGTCCAGATGTCAGAAATATTTAATGAAAATGACAATATTACGATGCACAGAGATGCCACGACTAAAAGCGGAAGACATTGTTATGCTGTTGAACTGACAAACGCAAAAAGTACATATACACTTGGTTTGCAAGAACTTGCTGATGGTCGTGCTGAAACGTATGCTAAATCAACAGATAAAATGATTTCTGATATTAATGATGTGTGTACTGCTAATCCTGATTTAAATATAATGTCGAAAATTAAAAACTTTATGACTGATAGAAGTGCGACAGAGGAAAAAAACTAACCGTATTTTGATGGATAATTCCAAAAACAATACCATCAATAGTTTTAAATGCTCTGTGCATCCTCTTATTCAGTTTTGGGATGTTTGTGATAAAAGTATAAAAGAAATAGAAAAGGGGGAAAACTTTAAACTGAGAGATGGCGATAAAATCAGAAAAGACACATATATATCTATTTTATTGAATTCTGTTTCAAAACTTTTTTTATAAAGATTGGTCAGGAGACCCAACCATGTCAAATGTTTATTTAAAGAGTCAAGGTATTGAAAATAATCCTATTGAAAAGATGCGAGGGAGCCGTTTTAATGTTCAGTTCAACAATGCTGGTGGAATTTTCATTTTGAAACATGTTATTTTAAAATATCTTTTACAGTCAAAAATGGCTTTAAATTATACACAACAATTAATTGTAGACTGTCTTCAAAACAAAACTTTAATATGTATTTGCCAAGCTTTGGGAATGATATGTAAAACAATCACAGGTCCATATTGGAAAGCAGCTTCAGATAAGAAAACACCAATTGAAATGGGACATATATACACCAGATTAATTGATGTGTTGGACAATATTGTAAAATCACCATCATTATTATATGATAATCATATAAAATTATTTTTTGGCCCCGAAAAAGATTGTCATGATGTTCAGGATATTTTCACTGCGGATGAAAATCGGGATCAAACAGATTTATTTATTTCAGGATTATGTTTTGTTATTATGGAGAAAGCTAAAAAATTATTCTCTGATTTTCTGTGTGGTGGCAAATTTTTCAATGCAGATGATGATTTAAAAACAACAGCAAGGAAATGTCCTTCTAATAATATAACGGTTGAGCGATTGATGGGAAAACTGGACAGTGCAATCAAACAGTCTCCGAACTCAAGTGTAGGCGCTATTCAGACTAAAATTGTGTATAACAATAACAAAACACAAAATTGGCTAGACAGTAAATCGAACACTGACAAGAAGATTTTATCAAAAACTGCAATTAAAAACCGAAAACAAGTAACTTTAGATCGCTATTTAAAACAAAAACAATTATTCAATAACCGTGTTAAAATAATAAATCAAAGAATTGAGTCCAAAGAAAAGCAAGTGAAAAGAAAATCAGATAAAAAGGCAACTGTAAAGAAAACAATAGAGGCAAATGGAATTTGGAATTTTGAAATTGAATTAGAAACAGAGATAGATAAATTAAGAACAAAAACTGAAAAAATTAAGGCATTACAGACTCAAATAAATCTTTATAAGGACGATCAAGTTTTGGACATTTCAAAAATAGATAAAAATTTACTGATATTCAGCAAAAAAGGAAAACCACTCTCCGTTCTTGAACTTGCAGCCAATTTACGAAAGTTGATCTTTCATCGTAATCCTTTCAACGATCCAGAATCATTAGTAAATAAAGAAATTGTTCATACTTGGGAGGATGACAACACATCAGAACAAACTTGTTGGAATGGTCGTTTGCAATCCTACCAAAATCAAGAATTTGAAGTTAATACTATTGAAAGTTCATATTTTTAAGCTAATTTTCACACATTAAACTCCTTTCCAGTACTCTTATTCACATAAAAATTTGTCTTATGTTTTGTCAACTTTAATCTTCAATTAATCTGTACATGTATTGTACTTGCAAGCTCACACAATATGAAATTCTACGGAGGGCTTCTATTCCTTAATACTAATAGTGATGAAAAAAGCCTTTGTATTTGATAATCCATTATTTTTTCCCTGTCCAATCTCTATTCTTTATTGTTTGTCTTCATCACATCTTAATACTCAGTATCGGGTATACCTGTTAGCCTTCAACTCATAAACCCTGTATCAACAAACATTAAACCCATTTAATATATATATGTCCATAATTTCCAATTCATGAGGAACAGGGATATGTCTACGTATATGTGTTATTACTGTGCATACATTGAAATTTGGAATAGATTTAATCTTGTTACATTTTCAACATATTTAAAAGTATCAAAATATTATACTAGGTTGTTTCCAAAAATGCATCAGTAATGATAATAGATATATTCCTGAAAATTACAATTTACTTGCATGAATAATTATCTAACTGTTTGTTTAATGGTTGAGGTTGTGTTGTAAATTTTATTGTAACACTTAGAACAATATGGAATAGATGTCTATAAGAGAACAAACGGAGTGTTTAAAATGTATAAAGTATCATTAACTCAAATTACAGTAGTCCATATAGAATTAAAACTGGGAAGCAATTTAACACTAATACTAGATTTGTTGTTTGTTTCAGTAAGCATAGATACAATAAAATACATCAATATTCCTAAGTAAAATGTCCATGCACTTTATTTTACTAGGACAATATATAATAACAGAAATCATTTACATATTATAAAAAAAATGAATTCCATCTTATTGTGTAATAAAAACATATTTTTTATCCTATGTTTTGATGTTTAGAGTACACAGACTTGTACATTATTATTCTACTTGTAGGTCAAGTATTGGAAAGACAATGAAGAATTAGAGGATGGAGATTTGTATAGTTAAAGTGTTTTAGAATTGAAAGAAGATTTTCAAGGAAAGCTGTTAAAATTTAAAGGTATTGGCGATTATTTAAATTGTATTGTAGAATAAACTCAATCAAATACATGAAAAAGAAGGTACATGATAAAATGTAAAACTCCTCATACATACCCTAGGCATACATGATTATGGCTTAAGTAAAGGTTATAAAGTTATCATTCATTATAGGGTTTTTTTTTTTTAACTTTGTACAATGACTTAATGATTGACTAAGTTGTTGCCTTATATTACTAAATTTCATTAAACTTATATTCGTTTGAGTTTGAGTTTTGCAAGTGTTGTAATTTATGATTATTGTGTACATTTCAGATTGAACCAAGCTACATGTATAATTAAGAAAAAGACTTTAACAAGGAAGATAACAGTGAGAACATTTTAATATTATCTGCCCTTTATTTATTTTCCAATGAAAAAATATGAGTTATCCTTAGCTATGTACATTGATTTAAATAAATTATTTTTAGCCTTCATCTAACCAACCAATCAAATTGAGTGTTATATTTCTTTAGCAATGAGGTTGCACTTCCTGGTTTTTAAGTGAACAACATTTTTTTTGGAATTTTAATTTTTACTTAATATAGCTACATATCATCATTTTTAAATCTGACGAAATATTGACGAGATTGTTCATAATTATTCTTCAACACCTTATGTATCCGGACACTGTACAATTTTCGTTAGAATATTTTTTCGAAAACAGAATCGTAAATCCAAGGCAAACAAGGTGAATTACGATGAAATATCCATGTAATGCATAAAGTTAAATTTAGGAAGAGACTGTAAAAAATGGGGAACGAAGCAATGTCGACAATGATGTTGATATCCCATGACATAAAAATATTGTTCCGATGCGTTGGATAACCTTTCTATCCGCCTTCTAATTAAATAAAAACTTTCCTTTCTTTAATGATAGCTGTATGTGATCACAAGTGTGTAATTTTATAGCCATTGTTTAATGTATATAAGAATATGAAATGAAAAAAAAGATGTTTTTTAATGTGTATAATATCGATAGAGTCTAACGAGTAAAGAAATTTGCTATACTGGGAAAAAAGAACAATGCGATTATTGTTTACATATTAAAAGCTCAGGTCTGATATCAAAAGTCTTTAACACGGTAATCTGTCATAAGCATACCTGTTCCCTGTACTGTCAATAGGTCTGCAGCAGTCCTTAAAAAGCAGACCGTAGGTCTGGTCTACCAACGACAAAGTTAACTTGCTTGTCTGCTTAAAATTTTCCAAGTTAACTTGAAAAGCAGTCAACAAGTCTGCTCAAAGTTAACTTTTGTACAGGTTAGGACCGCACCCATCTGTATCTGCTTTCTTAAGTTTTTGGAAAAAATCTTTTAAAACTATGATGATTTCAACCTTCCCATTTCGTAAAAAGTCAAATTTTAAGCATTTTCCAAAAGAATTACACAACATGTTTGTAAATATCCGTCAAAGGCAGTTTTCAAGACACATAAGTTTTATATCCATGACGGATAAGGGCTTTATTATCCGCACATTTGATATTATTTATATTTTCAATCTTAAACTAAGCGAAGTAATTAAATCAAAAGGGCAAAGGTCACGTGGTGCAACTCATTTGGATAAAGTACCTATGATTTTGCCATATGTGTCACTTGATTTGTCTTTTTACTCTGTACTTATCTCAACACACTGGATTTTCCTCCACTACTTCTGAGTCAGATGATAACGACAACAATATATTCGTAGGGGACAACAGTTATATACATGTTATAATTGACAGTTCATAATATATATGTACAACTAGCTAGCGGAAGAGGTTGATATTGATACATAAAAAATAACATTTACCTGTTCACAATTGGCGATAATGAAAGAATTAATCGGCGCAAATGAACTGTGGAAAAACGGCAACAGTAGTATACCGCTGTTCGAAATTCATAAATCGATTAAGAAAAAAACAAATCCGGGTTACAAACTAAAACTGAGGGAAACACATCAAATATAAGAGAACTACGACACAACAGAAACACAACATAAAAATGTAACACACACAGAAAGGAACTATAATATAACAATGGTCATTTTCCTGACTTGGTACAGGACATTTTAAGAAAAAAAATGGCGGGTTGAAACTGGTTTTGTGGCTAGCTAAACCTCCCGCTTTTATGGCAATGTTAAATATAACATTAAAATAACAACATTACAGGACAGGACTACAATACAAATAAATGGGAGAACATATAGGACAGAGAAACATACGAATAATAGCTAACAAAAGGTACCAGGTTTAAAATTTAATATGCAAGACTTGCGTTTCGTCCACACAAGACTAACCAGTGACGCTCAGATAAAAAAAGTACGAAAGCCGAAACAAGTACAAAGTTGAAGAGCATTGAGGACCAAAAGTTCCAAAAAGAATACAAGTTATGTTGATTAGCTGACAAGTTAGCTGTTCAATAAACTGACCCGGCAACATAAGAAACAGTGGACAAATGATATGTCGAGGGGATGACAAGCAGACATTTATTGATATATTTCAGATGTCGACTGATTAAAAACTTAATAAACTATTTATGATTGTGGTTTACAGATCGACAAGTTGACAGTAAGTAATAATACCAAAAACTATGGGCGACAGTTCGACAAGTTGACATTTCACGATTTATGTAATTAGCCAGTATGACGGATGACAGGTCGAAATATTGTCTTTTTTTATATTTCAATATTTCATGGTTTTGTCGGATCGTTCTTGTTTTTTTTTCATTGAAATCACCATGATTTTTTTAATTCTTTAAAAATTATATAAATCTTAATTTAATTAGGTCGAATTGATGTGTTATAACCTTTGGAGGCAGATATGTTTCCTGTGTCCACCTGTCAGTTTTTGGAGGTTGACATTTTTTTGTTGTTGCTGTCAACCTATTGATTTGTCATGAAACCCTTGAAGTAAGACACTTTTTGTGTAAGTGTTAATGTGTCGTCTTCTCAACAATTGGAGGTCGACAATTTTGTGTTATCGTCTGATTGTCCACTTAATTTATTTAGGTACACCACAGATTACAGAACGAATGTGGCACGGTTTTAAACAACAGTACTACAGGTCCCGTTACGGCTTTCAGTGCTGAATAAAATCAACCTAAACCATACTATAAAAAGACCCTTTAAGGCGGCATAACCTGTCTTATCCATGTTCGTCGATTTGGTTGATGACTCAAATACTCACTTGATTTATAACATACTGAAGCGTTTATCCAAAAGTCCTAATAAAATAATAACAAATGTATCAGCAGTTTATGTGTATTTATATGTAAAAGAAAGACGAAAAATACAAAAGAAGCATTCAAACTCATTACTCAAAAATTAACTGATAACGCTATAGCAAAAAAAAACCCCCGACATGGTTATAAATTACAAATAATTACACCATTACTTACAAAAGCCTATATAGATATTCTTGAAATGGATAGAAAATACATCAAATATCACCACTACAAACGTTATCCCAATTTCATATTGTATTTTTGGAATTTTACCTGTGTTAGTTGTCTTTCTGTGGTTTACATGCTGAAATAAACTATTCTATTATTTATTCATGAATTTTTCTGTTCTGAATGTTCTTGCATTTAATTGTACTGTATTCCAGTCACGCAATGTGGTCATGAAAGCGTTTTTTTTTTTAAACATTTCCATATAAACGGGAGGTTTACAACAAGGTTCAACACACCATTTTTTCTGAAAATGTCCTGTACCAAGTCTGGAATATAGCATTTGCTATCTTATAGTCTGTGTCTATAAAAACACTCAACATAGATACCAGGATTAAATTTTGTATTTACATCTGACGCGCGTTTCGTCTACAAAAGACTCATCAGTGACGCTCGAATCCAAAAAAAGTTAAAAAGGCCAAATAAAATACGAAATTGAAGATCATTGAGAACCACAATTCCTAAAAGTTTTGCCAAAGACAGCTAAGGTAATCTATTCCTGAGGTAGAAAAGCCTAAGTATTTTAATGTGTGTTGGCGTTTATTTTTGTAGCAGTTCAGTGCTTCTGTTGTTCCGTTTTGTTTCCTCTTATAGTTGATGTGTTTGTCTCAGTTTTGGTTTGTGACCCGGATTTGTTTCAGTTAAAACAATTTATGACTTTATTAAAATCACTGACATTAACGCACTATTATCAAAGTTTGTGTGTGCAATTTAGATCCAGGTGATTAATTACAAAGATACAGGTGTGTTTATCATCTTTAACTCTGGTTCTTAAGTTTTGAAGAAAATATGAAAACATTTAAAATATTTGAATAAGTCCAAGTTTATCAACTTAACCCATACCTGTTCAATTGCCAAAGGAAAAAATATACAAGATAATATGTTTGTCCTACTTTTGCAGAATCAAACACAAGTAGTTGAATGTTATTGTTTGTCTTATGTCAACTTAAACTGTTTTTCGTCAAATATAAAAGAATACACAGACAGAACCAGAAATAAATCCAGAAGTGTGATACGACGACT